ACATGGATCTTGGGTATACTAGCATGCCCTTGGCACAGTGGCTCTCAATGTGTGGTCAATCAGCAGCTGAGCATTCTCAAGAGATATAGAAAGTCTTTAGGTTTGCAACGACATGTCAAGGCAAAGGTAGATTTTCTTCATATGTCTAAACAAAGTGGCATATAATGGACTGAAGTAGATGCGCTAATGTGGTCCCTTTTTACTGAGCCAGACATTTCCTCGCAAGAGTATAAAATAGTGCCACAATTTCAAAGCAATAATTTGTTCTTAAGAAATATACTATACATTTTATATATAATGGCTTCATTTTATGAATGTGTGGGGTGTGTGTGTGTGTGTGTGTGTGTGTGTCTGTGGACTGCAAGGAATTTTGGACAGCTGCTTTACAAAATAAAGTAGCACAAATTGTGCAACGCCAGAGGAAAGGGTGTTGGGGCTTTGTTGCTCATCTCTTGATCTTTCCACTCAGAGCTATATTTGTCCCTTGAAATATTAGTTAAAAATTTTAAAATATCCGTATTCTTCTCACTTCTACAAAAGCACTGGACTAGCATTCATTTCTATTTCAAACTCGTGCTTCTGTAAATCAATTTATGGGTGCAAAGATTCAGCATTCGATTTTTATAATGAAATGCAATCTACCAAACTGTGCTAATAATGCTATCAAAATGCCGCCCAAAATAAAACAACTGTAAATAATAAATTAACATTTTAATCAGCCTTTCAGATTCCATGTTTATCATACTTCTAAAATGCTTGTTGTCTGCTAGGTTTTTTTTTTTTCTTCATCAGTTACCAGAAATCATCTTCAGATTAGCAAATTTTACTTGGCTTTAAAAAGAGAGGAAAAACATTCTTTGAGCTATTACCTCAACATTTGAAACAACATAATCTATTTTTTAAAAATTACATGTGAGACAATCATGATTAGAAAAATATACCATTGCTTTATTTATTTAAAAAAGGAAAAATTGAATATCCAAAGGGATATCCTCACAATGCTAGGAATCACACCTCGGAATTGGGCTTCCGGAAGAGTACAGCTGTAAAGGGAGAGAAGAAGGAATATTTTCCCTGAACACAGGGCTGGAGTACTCACTTGGATGAGCCTTTTGATTCTTGCAGTGGGGAGGGAGGGTCCTCTGGCCTTAAGCAGAGAATATGGGTAACGCCCCCAGGTGACAAGCAAGAGCAAATGCAGACTGTCTTGTTAGATGCCATTGATAAGTGGATAATCAATTTCAAAAGTATTGAAGTATGGAAAATCAACAGCAACCAGAGTGTCTTGGAACCATTAGAATTTAAAAGTGTATAAAAGGTATTGAAATACTGTATATAGGATTCTTTGTATTATGAAGCACTTTAATAACCATGCTAACATACTTATAGTAAAAAATAATGTAAGCAGTGTACAAATTAAGTTTAAAGAATAATTGGCAAAGTGATCCAACATTCTTACTGGATCTACTTCTGGGACTGAAATCAAAATACATAAATTAACATGTTTGTCACCAAACCAAAACATGTCATCAGTGAATTTTAGTACATACTGTCTAACTTTATATTTTCTTATTTTTCAATGTACTGTAGCTACTTATTTGGAATATATCTAGCTGATCATAGATCAAATCACCACTTGATTCTCAAGTTCAACATGAAAATCATCAAATTTTACAACAAAGATTAAGAATAATTGTTTTAAGACTTACAGCTAAACTACAAGATACTATGGGTCATAAACATAACAATGATATAGTACACATGGTGTTTGTTGTGAACCGGGTACTTTTTTTATATTCATTGATTTGATTTCCAAGAAATGTCAACTCAGGTGAAGTATCTTTGAACTTAGACCCTTGAGCTTGCCAGGGGAGCTATTACAGGTGAAGTATCTTTGTGTGACTCCCTTCTATTGTGTGAAGGTGATATTGCAGGATTTCAGCTACTGAATTACTTAACTGAGTCTTGGGATCGTATAGGTTACCATCAGCAGGGATTTTTACGTAACCAAATTGCAAAACTCCAATGGTCTTTGTAGACTCTGAATGTTTTGTATGGAGTGGATTTGATGAGTGTCACTGGCATTCGCTGTCTTCCAGGGGTGGTGGGGCTGCCTGCCAATGCCCTGAGATCCATGATAAGGACGTGTTGATCAATCCCTCACCTCCTCAAAATACAACATAAACTGCTTTTCTGAAGTCGAGAACATGGAAACTTGCCTTTTGTATTGGCTTATATTGCTTAGCAATAATTCTACCTTTTATGTTTTAATGCAGTAAGTTAAAACTTACATTGTACTTCAACATAACTATGTACTTTAAGAAGGTGGGAGACTTGTCTAGAAACGCTCAAAACAGACCATCGTTGAGACTGAGAAATGGCCTAAGGTAGGTTTCACAGAGAAAAATGTTGGCTTTCTTTCTTTCTTTTTTAACAACTAACTTCTCAGTGTTGAAAGTGCAATGCCCCTTAAAAGATAAATGGATAAAGTAGGTGCTTTGAATAGAAACAACTACATATAATGCTCAGTTGAAATAATGACTAGGACACAAAATGGCATTTCCTCAAGTTTCACAAAGAATGGGAGCAGCTCACAGGGTCCTCTTTCTTTTTCTTTTTTTAAGTAACTAAAAGGAATGCCTTACCAAATGATTCAGGAGTCATAAGCTTTCCTTTCTACCAAATTGTATTTTGAGAATAAATGGACAGTTACCTGTTAATTGCTTTTCCATTGTGTTTTCCTTGTTGTGAATAGCAGAACCTTGCATGTGTCAGCTTTACCTCTTCTTTCATGACCAACAGAAAATGTCATGTTTAGAGCTGATACATTTTTATATGTGTAATATATCAACACATCACTGAACTTGTGGTCATGTGACTAAACATAAATATATGTGCAAGTAGACAACCAGTAGCCAGATTAAATTAGTCTTAACTTTCTTGCCTTTTTCAAAATACAAAAACATTCAATTTTCAGTATTGATTTCATGGAAAACGTTGTTTTAGTAATCAAATCCACATTTTATGGTTATTATATCACTATAGATTATCTTAGTGAATTTCTTTTAGGTTCAAAGTTGGTAAAAGCAGAAGTCTTACTGTAGCGTGGACCTGAGATCAGTTTTTAAGTCATGTATTCCTTCTCATGTAATTTTACCTGGTTATTTGACCCTTTGAAGTCGCTGCATTTTCTATGAGACCTAATTTTCTCATGGCCCTAAATGTCTGCTTTGCCATCTTTCTGCAAGTTGTCTGCTGCCAATTTCTATGAAGTTTTCAGTCAGGACTCACCTCTCCTTCTCTGGGCCACGGCCTTCCATTCTGGGTGTATTTGCTCTGATTTTGTCGCTTCTTTTGTCCTCCATCAGCGAATTTGCACAGTAATGGTTCACTGGGAGCTGGCAAGATAAGAAACCAATTCCATATTAGCAAATTCCCCTTAAAAGCAAAAGCATATTTGAGCCACTGTAGAGCTTTGTACTGAACATCTTTTGAAGTAACGTCTTGGTTCTGAAGAGACATTTGCCCTCCGTTTAGTCTCCACTTTGTTGGCTGCTATTCTACCCGGACTTGAAAAATGCAGTGGCAGATCATAAAAGAATATAATAAATATTCCTGAAAAAATAATAAGTTGAAGGATAATGTGAACTTGCCTCAGAAAGAAACAAGCGTATCCCCTTCTAGTTAAGTCAGAGTCACACTCATAATTGGTATTTGTATGTGAATGAAAACTTCTTCAAACCAACTGTGTCTTTCAATGTAGAAACCGCAGGACTCCATTGTGGACAATGATCTAGGGGAGCTTCTTTCTGTAAAGTGTACCTTGCTAATTATAACCAAGTTAGCTTTCTTTTCTCACTAATATTCCACAATCTGAGAAAGGTTAGAAGTTGGTCCTCCGCCCATCACTTTTCACTGCAGTTTCTCAGCAAAATCTAGTCAGAATACCAGGAGAACAATTATTAGAATATTCAGTGAAATATATGATACAATATGGCTATAAAACATGATTCATGGAGAGATTGTGATTATGTATGATTTTACTAAAGTTATTCCTTCAGATGTTATTAAAAACTACAGTATGCCAGAAATTGTCTTTCACAAATAATCTTTAAAAATGATGTTTAAGAACTCAAGAAGACAAAATTATTTTTCAGAATTGAAGCACCCTTCTCCATCTTTATAAGACTAGAAAGAAAAAAAGCATTTGGCCTAACAAAGTTGGTTAATATGCTAAGATAGCTAGAAGTGTTAAACTGTTGGTTTGTTTGAATAAATCAAATATTATTTTGCAAATTAACTGTCAGAACACCAATATGAATTCCCTCATCCACATCGCTGACTCTGACAAAGGATCCACAAACTGCAGTACAGGGTTTCAGGATAAACCCTGAGGCAATTTGACTGACCTTGTCAGATACAAATTTACATTTCTTGATTTCTTGTTATATAGGTCTTGCTTTATCTTGGTCTTAAGTATCCAACACAAAAGTATAAAAACAAAGAATAAAATGTAAAACCATATTAATATGCTGAGCTGTAAAGGTCTCGAGTCAACAACTTCTGTCATTGCCAGTCCTAGGGATAACCCACTACTATTATGGACCACTGGACTATATTGGAATATTTTGCTGAATTCATGCACCTACAATATTTAAATGATAATGGAATACCCTTCTCTGACAAAACTAAACAAAAAAAAAAGAGATACAAATGACGGACTATTTTGTATCTTTTAATTCAAAATAGATGGATAGATATACAGGTACTTTCTCTTAATTCAATGAATAGAAAGGGTTGTACTAATAATGTTTATGGACAGGATATCATTTCTGCATCTTGTACTATGAATAACCACTATAAAGACAGCAACATGCAATATATTAATTACTGAAACTGTCCTACTTATCGGTTTTGAAACTGTCATTGCTATTTGTTTCTCAAAAGATCCTTTTAAAAAATGAATT